TTCTACTGCCAGCTGTCCATGAAGACAGCGTGAAAAAGGACATTGGCATGATTGTTCCACAGTTCTGGCCATAAACTTCTTCTTTGGCCACTGAGATAATCTTCGAAAGAATTCATCAAGTCTGCAGCTGTAAACAAATTCTTGGAACCTCTGCTTCGTGTTGGGTTTGTGTTGGACATTGAGGTGAGGAATGCTTTATACTGAGGAAAGGGACTTTTGTCCACCACGCTCTGTGGGCCCAGGCACCATCCAGCATTGAGGAGGAACCTGAAGGACGTTTCTCCAAACATTGCCTGTTGTACTTCGGGTTTTCCGTCACAACATAACAGGGTCAAGGGACCTCATATGCCGGCCACAGGCTTGGATACATGAGAGGACTTCTCCATAATTTTCTTGCAGGCATTGCGAGTAAGGAACACATTCTTTTTGGAACTCCACAATTTTCAATGGATTTTCTGGAGGCTTCTCAGATGCCTTTGGCAAAGCCTGCTTGGTTGAAAAGTCCTATGTCCAGGTGTTGAGTGGGACATGGATTTGCTTCCTTGGGGGTCCAGTTTAGTGAGCTGTGAGAGGTGTCTTGATCTTTGCCAGCTTCTTCCTCTCTTAATAAAGCATGACAGCAGGCCTGTCAAGGTGCTTTGGAGCTCCTTTGCCAATAATGGCACATTGGGGCATCTGTTGAAATAGCCTTCAAAAGAGCTTCAGCTGTCTTGCAACAAAAGCGAAAAACTCGAAGTTTAGCCAGGGAAAAGAGGCTCTGTCGGTTGCCTTCTTGACTGTCAAGTTAGGACGCGGATGTGGGCACTCCTTACTCTTCGGAAGTTTCTTGTGGCTGTTGGATGTACCCTATTCAACAAGCTGGCCACACCTTCGATTGCTGGCCGCTCAGCAACTTGCAAGTCTTCAAAACCCATCAAAGTGGCACCAGAACTTCAGAGGAAATCTTGCCGTTTTTAGTCAGCTCACTGAAATCCTCTCGCCTTTGCTGGGCGAGTCATGGAACCACCCTGCCAAAGCGGCTCCTCAACTGCGCCTCACTGGAAATCCTCTTGCCTTGCCGATCATACACTTTTCCAACGCTCTGCGTTTCCCCTCTCTCCGGTCTGGAAACTTCCATGCAAAACATGCAGACCACCAACTTCCCAAGGTTGATGAGCTTTGTGCATCTGGGTCCTCTTTGCTTCTTGTCGTCTTGGGAATAGTCCTTAAGAAACTTCCAATTCAGCACTGGTAGGGCCCGTTCCATCGATATTTGCAGGAGCTTGTTGGGGTCCAGAGGTGACAGTGATCTGTTGATACTCCCAAGAGCTTCTCTGCCTGAGTGTGTTCTAGGAACTCTGAAGTGAAGGTAATGCACAGCTACTTTCCCTTCGCGTTCACTCAGTAGCGCAGAATGATATCCATCATTGTTCTGTTTGTGTCACTTTGTTAAGGCATTCGTCAAAAAGACACTACATGGACACTTTGCTTTTCTTACGTCTTCAATCAGCTGCTCTTTAAAAATGAGGATACAAGCCAAAACGTATAAGGTAAAGCCCAATTTTGTTGCGCCACATGTAAATGTTTGGCAATTTCGCGTGTCTGGGAAGCATCTGAGCAAAAGTGTTTGAAATGTCAGAGTTGGAGTTGAACGAGAGTGTGACCTGACCATCTTCATGACCCAGGAAATCTCTGCTTCAACATACAGCTTGGCTGAAAAAAACGTTTCCCTGAGCTCCAGAGCCTTTTTTCGTAGGTTACTGCGCACCTGACTGTCACTTTCGATATCCTGGCTTGTTGGCGCTCTTCCCTCTCCTGTTTTTGTAGTCAAGAAATCTGTCATTTCTTTCATTATTTAGCTGCCAGCTAACTTTGGTGTGGGTTTGTCCTTTTTGAATGGCTCTTGAGGGAAGTGACCCCCATATTGCTGATGTCAAATGACTTGCGGCAAAACTTGCAATAAGCCTTGTGGACATCTTCCTGGTACCTCTCCAATCCAGTCCTTGTATGAGAGTCATCTTTCCAAATGTGACTTGAATCTGCCGCGTGTCATTGTCACTCACTCCTGTTAATGCATCACACATTTGAGATTATGAGTCTTACGTAGAAGGGGTAGTAGTTGCCTACTCTTACTCTGTAAAAGTCTTTTGTAAATCAAACTAATGAACCTAAAAAGGGAAAACATAAGGCTGGTTCCCCTGTCGTTCCTAAGTACAGCAACCCCACTAGTAAGCTTAGCTTAACAGTATAGATGTATAGAATCAGTCTAGGCATGATCAATGATTTTTCAAAAATGTCTCACCCCAAATGTTCCTATTTAGTAGTATCATTTTTTTTAAAGAAAAATCACAAAATAGCTAAAAGTAGATATAAGAATGAATGTTACAAAATGTATCAAGACTAGACTATTCATGTCAACTAGTATAGAAGTAATGTCACAGCCTAATGTGAAAATGTATTGGTAGTTAGCTAGCAATGCAAGCTAGACAACACTAGCTAGTTAGTTAGCAAACTGAATGTTGGCTAGCAAGATTGCACTCCATGTGCTTGCTAACCATCATTAACAAATTCAAATTCAAAACAAACTCAAGTTGCTAGCTAGTTAGCAAGATTGCACTGCTTACTAACTAACGTTGATAAACCCAAGTTTACCACAGTTAAAACACAGCTACTTACATTTGAGGATAAACTTGCATAAGAAGTTTCACTGTCGATGTCAAGGCTCCCGTGTTGGCTGGGAAATGCATGTATTTTACCCTTCTATTGAGATCGCGAGTAACGTTATTATTCCTGAAGTCCACCAATCCGAAACTATACTTTTAAAGTCCATATCACCAAGTTGCCTGCATCAAATTCCAACATCCAATATACCATATAGGACTCGAAGAGCATGCTCTACAACATGGGATCATCCATTTCTATCTACAGTAAAAGCTGTTCACATGTAAAGGGTTTTTATAAACTCATCTTAATTCTGTGCTCAATAGTTTCATTTTATTATTATTTTATTTATCCATACCTGGAAAATGAAAAAATTAATTCCATGTTTTCCAGGTACCGTGGGAACCCTGAATATCATATAAACATAAATAAGCTTGTTTAATATAATATTTATAATATCATACAGCTCATTTCCTATATAAGCGGTACATTCCACCACACAAGGTTCCCTGGTAGTTTTGTGGAAAAAGGACTTCAACAATGCTTTCTAAATGTACCAAAATGTGCAATTGTTTCTCTTATTTTCCTCCAGGCCTTTTCCTTTTGGCCTCTGTTCCTCAACATTAATGAAAGGCAGAGAGGGAATGAGACAGCTAGAGAGAACTGTACATTTTGCGCTCAAGCGGAAACATTGAACTCCAATGAATGAGTCTCGTCTCAGCTCACACAGCCTCGAGCAGATCCGAGTCTGTCCACATCTTTCTATTGACTGCATGCGTTTGTGCCACCGCTGCATCGTTGTACCATTCTATATTAGGGCCCATTCCAACATACCTTTCTAACAGCTGATTCCAACATGCTGCAGAAGATAGGGAATTGCTTAAAGTTGCCAGTTTTGCGGGTGAGGTCTTCAATGTCTGAAAAAAATGTATTAAAATAGTGTGAGTGAGAATATTTGTGCCTGGTATGACATGATATCTATTATAGATGTATTATGCTACTACTTACATGCTGGATCAAAGTCCCCTCTCCACTGATCTGCCGTCATAACGTCAGATATTTCAACTATCAGCAAACCCTTGTCCACCTCTATCTTCACAGAAAACTCCACTCCTCGAAATAGAATATCCTCCACCACCTCAGAGCCCTCCTCCATCGCTCTGAGTCTGGGTGGGAGAAATAAATTGATCTTAAGAATCAGGAAGTACAGGAATCAATTAACTACAGCTTGGTTATAATGTTAGTTGGACTTTTTACAAGATTCTATATGGTTAGGCATTGTCATGTCATAGAGCTACATACTGTACATCTGAGGTCAGGGACATATATTAAGCCTCATTATAACCCTGATTTGACCAAGAAAACAAATTTTCAACATCTTGCTAAGTCTGCAAAAAACATGGACTTAATGTTAACTGATGGCGCAAAGGCTGGTAGGTGTTGAGGATTAAAATCATATCAAACGTCTTGGCACATTTGGACAAATCGGAACCTGATTACATGATATTTAGGACGTTTTAAAGGAATCTGAATCGGTGCAACTGTTCATTCTTTTAAAATCAATCCTAACATGTAACATAAAGAGTTTTTTGATATGCCTACAAGTGGGGTCATGGCCTGGGATAAGAGCCTAGAAGCCACATTATGAGTTTATCAGGTTGTCCAGGTATTATGTGCATGTCCTGTTTTCCACTCATGGGATTGTTTCAGCAAATACATGAGTACATTAAACACAGGGTTGACCCCACTATAGAAAATACAGGTCTGCTGGCTTGGACTTAGCTGTATTTATAAATAGTTGTGTTAAACGAAACTATATCATTATTCTGTATTTGTCTTCCTATTTCACTAGGTGTGTACAGTATGGCTGCCCTCTCACATGCATGCCATCACAACCATAGATCACAACACACCGCACGGGGCGGTAGTGAGCCAAACAGCCCATTTAAAAAAAGGTGTCATCATTTTTATTAGAGAAAAGTTCTGGTTGGTTGGTCATATCCTACGTTGAGGACTCAGCAAATGACTTGAGACATGTTTTACGAGGTAGGTTGCTAATTGTGTCTCTTTATTATTGCGGTACAATGGTGTTAGATTTTGCGCTTGACTTCACTTTCTCCCGTGCGAGTGAAAGCGACATGAATGTGTGTTCATCTTTCACTGACATGCACACAAACACACGCTCGGGTAACTGCGTGTTTGGCATAGTTACTTCACAACATTACCATTCAGTTTGAGGGTCGGCTCTAACAACTGTTCGTGGTGGGCACTGTATTTAAATAACGCGACGTTATCTTCTACTCATTTTCTGGGGCAACGTTAACTGAACGTTGGCTAAGGTTAGCTAGCTTTGAGATCATTGTCAGTTAACTTGACTCGCAGATAGCTAACCGAGCTATCTGTGTGTGAACCACATGAATAATGTTATCAGTGTGTGCACGATCAGTGTTTGATTGATCAGTGTGTGATTGATCAGTGTTTGAATGAATGCAACACATGTATACAAAAAACGTTAACGTTACCTTTGGTCGCAGAAACGATCCGTAATGAGGGAAGTTGTCAACACATAGCTAAACGTTGTAAAACAAAGCGGCCAGCGTTGGTGGTGAAAGAGCCAGGCGCTTGATGGGAGGTGACAGCACAGTCAGCACTACTGTGTGGAAGCACTGGCGCGGCACCGTGGAGACGGGAGCGGTTCAACAACCGGGAACCGTTAAATTCTTCTTCTTCAGTTTGCTCCGCCGTCTCTTCCTCTGCTGCTTCACATAGGCTCGTGCGTTCCGGAGGACCGCTGCCCTCCAGCGGCGGTGAACACTCACTGCCTCCAGAGGAAGAGGATGGAAAATAGTATCAGACACAGGAGCAGTATGACTATCTAAAATGATATGCATTACAAAATGTGACTTATATATGAAAGCAGTACGAAATACAGAAGTATTTTATCTGATTTATTCCTTGATATGATATTATATAATGTTAATCAATGATTGTGGTGGAGCATTATGGGACATAATTCGCCGTTGTATATATTGTGTTTTGCACAAGGGACCTGTTAGAGAGTGTACTGTGTTGTTGTATTCATTCTAGCTTGACAGTAGCAGGTAGCAGATGTTCCTACTTTTCTGTAACGAATGGAAAATAAAGTGTGGAGTTCCATACTGAACACACCGCCTCCGACTCCCATTCATCGGCACTAGATGATAATAATAAAGCCTTACCAATGAGGATGGATTCAATCCAAAACAGTGCTGATGTACAGTATACATTTCTAATTGAAAATCATCAGATTTATTTATTTTATTATTATTTTTTAACAGGGACAGTGTTAGTTTGTAATCTGTAGTGCCTGGACAGTAAGTCATCCTATAAACAAATGTAATGAACAGATAGAAGCTTGTACCACTAATTTGTTTTATCTGAATTATAATAATATAAACATTATCAATTTTTCCCTATACACATCAATTGAAATAATTGTGTCATCACATTTTAAACATCACTAAAAATCTTGAAACAGACATCCAGTTGCTGATATCTGCGTGATACGCCTTGTGCTGTTTGGTTTTGTGTTTAATAGCAGCTTTCAGTAGAAAACAAGTTCTTCCTGTAAATGTTTGATGAACCTGTTGCACAAGTTCGGAGACGACCCCTTCCTTTCTTCACTTAGTCTTGGTAAAGGGCTGTTACCACGGAGACCTTGTTCACCCATAAGGCAAAAAGGCGAGTGACTGAGTCTGAAGTCTGCTGCAGCGGCAGGGGAGTGTGACCTGGCGTGTGTGTGTGTGTGTTGGCTACAGAAATACTGACTGTTTTTTAGTCTTTACATGCAGAACTCCAAATGGAAGAATCATAAAAGTTGTGGGACTACATCTCTCCTCCCTATGACCCCAAAGAAACCCCAGCAGTGGCTGCAAGTGGTCGGACATGCAGGTTTGTCTCACTTTTCTTTTGCTTCTCAAAGGGTCTTATTTTGGTCTAAAAGAAATATATCCGTGGCTTGTTTTCTTTCCTCGCTTGTCTCCACAGGGAGCTTTCATGTCGGGGATTACGGCACCCTGCTGAAGAGGTTCTGTGAGGGGGAGCAACAGTGCTACCTCAGGCTGATGGAGGACACTTTAAAGCCCTTTGTTCCAGCCTACCACGGGGTAGTGCAGCGGGACGAGCAGGATTACAACATGATGGATAACTTGCTGACCAATTTCAACACACCTGCCGTCATGGACTGCAAGATGGGCAGCCGGTGAGCTTTAACTGATCATATCTTGTCACCGAGAGAAGTGAATGGGTTTTATCTTAGACACATTTGAATGGGGAGACTTAATTCAGCAGTAAAATACCTTATATCCTCCATATCAATATATTGGAAGCTGAAAGACTACATTATAAAACACACATACATGTATTAGACTGAACATATGTTCTGTATGAGGTCTTATTTAAAGCAACATTTACTTTATTTTAGAATCTGTGTACATTTTCTCTTTTTAATATTAATAATGGTACTTTATTAACCTATTCCTTTTGATCATGTATGGTTTTTTTCAAATCACATTCAGTCTATGCCAGTTGTGAAATATGCTATATAAATAAACTAGACTTGACCTGAATTATGTGAAAGCATAATGTTCCTGTTTTGTTTTCACAGTTTTAATAGCTTTAAATGCAGTTAATTAGCTCCAGTCTAATTACAGTGAGGCACTTTCCTTCACAGCACGTACCTGGAGAGGGAGCTGCTGTTGGCCAAAGAGCGGCCGCAGCCCCGCAACGACATGTATGAGAAGATGGTGGCAGTGGACCCAGAGGCCCCTACGGTGCAGGAGCGAACCCAGCAGGCAGTGCTGAAAACCAGGTACATGCAGTGGAGGGAGACGCTGAGCTCCACCACGTCTCTGGGTTTCCGTATCGAAGGATTCTGGGTAAGCTCCAAAGTTCATCAAAGGCAGTTCTGTGAGGTTATTGACTCATCTTGATGTATAGCAAATAAAAGATGTTAAACTAAATATTTTAGGAATGCAGCAATAAATGTCGGAATTCATAGTTTAACGGTACACTGTGTTGGATTCAGGTTTTTAGCTTTACATTATAATGCTGTGACCTGTTTGTTTCCTGTGCAGAAGTCAAATGAAGAATGTCACACAAACTTCAAAAGGACCAAAAGCAGAGATCAAGTGATGGCAGCTTTCAACAACTTTGTTGAGTCAAATACGCACATTGTGGTGAGTGTGACCTTCACTGAATTTCATTTACTTGATCGTGTGTTCTATTTCCTCTCTTTTTAAACCTTGTTTCTTTCCCTTCAGTGGGGCTATCTGAGACGATTGAAAGAACTGCGGCAGGTCTTGGAAGAATCCGTCTTCTTCAGAACACATGAGGTTAGACATTTAGACCTTCTTTTTAATTACTGGTGTAACAGGCTTTGTCTGATAATAAATCACACTTGTCCAGAGGAGGATCTTTTCCCCTAACAGCTTTATCCCTGCAGGTCGTGGGCAGCTCCTTATTGTTCCTTCATGACTGGAAAGGCAGAACAGGAGTCTGGATGATTGACTTTGGAAAGACAGCGGCATTACCGGCACACCTTTCCTTGGACCACCGCACTCCCTGGGTGGAGGGCAATAGAGAAGATGGCTACCTGTGGGGTCTAGACAACCTCATTGATATACTGTCCAACATGCTGCCACTGACCTGAATACCCCTTTTAAAATGTGGACATTTACTCGTAATCTTTCCTTTAAGACTCACAATGGAAGTGAGTGACTGCCGATGGACTTCTTGACTCTGAAATGGCTTGTCAGAATTATGGAATTAACTATATTGGAAAACGCAATTTGAGGGGGATTTATTGCGATACCAACACATTTTGCAAAATGTGCTCACAAATAAATTATTTCCTGAAAATTAGGCCCACGCCATTGGTCAAAAGGTCATTGGTGATCCATGGAATCTCAACCTGAGCCTCTTAAAGTTTGACCACTGATTGAATAGACATAAACTAGCCTGCATTGATCTGCCACTAACAATGATCTTACACAACAAGAGTCAAACATAATCTAACTGTCCAGCCTCAGCGCAGCTAACCCAAATGTCTCGAGGTAGCCTGCTCATTATTTCATGAAAAACATGGCACAAGCAATTATAGGCCAAAGAAATGGCTGCTCCTTCTGCCTGGAGATTTAAATGTCAAACTTTGTCAAGAAAATGGTGCTAAAACGTTCAAAGTGGGCATTAATTCCTGGTTTTCATTCATTCATTTGTTTGCATATTATCATCATTTGTTTTAAACACTAGATTGATAAATTAAACACTGTGCTTTGCAGCTTTAATGGATATCAAATCAAGGTATGTGGCAGTTTATGTTAATAGTCCAGACCAATGATAATTAGGGTGTTTCTTGTGGTCTAACAATATCAGACCTTTGCACATCGGAAAGATGGGGCTATTAATTCGATTTTTAACATTGCATTTTATATTATTTATAGTATTTACTATTCAAGAAATGTACCTATTTCATGGTCCCCTTAAGATAATTCCTCATGACTTTTTTGACTTCCACACACAATAAGGTTGACATTTCAGTGAAACGTACTAGATTGTCATGACGTAGCGACATCAACAACACACAATTGTAGTTTGCCCAATACTCAATATTTACAAAACTGACACCTCCGCTTTAGTGTTTACTGCAATTTAGTACAAGCTAGCATGGTAATCTGGTAAAATGTTAGCATTATGACATTAGCATTAAGCTCAAAGCACATTGTTCCTACCTACAGCCTCAAAGAGCCGATAGCATGGAAAGAAGCACTAGTAGATTAACATTACATTTTTGATCAGCTAACTGAGTAATATCACACTATTTATACTTTAATCTTTTAGAGACAAGTGACTTGTTGATGCTATCATAACCTTTTAGCGACTTGTTGTCAGTAGTTGGTTGTCATTGCCAGACAGAGTTTTTAAATGGTATAAAACTCCCCTTGTGTCCTTCCTGCAGCGCACACCTTGACGGTTTGAACTTGCACCTTTCTCTCTTCAGTGTAGGGGTGACAAATGCAAACCTGCTGTTGTTATCTTCTTTACAAGTATAAAGTTTGATGTTTGTACTGTTTTGTATAATCTAACATCAATATCAAGCAGATGGTGCATTTCTTCATACATGACAGTTGATCTGTCAAAACAAAACAATACTGTTTGATTAATTGCAGATTGATGTGAAATTAACCTTTGGCTAAAAATATTAATCAAAACTGTATTAAAATAAACAAATGAAGTCAAACCTATTTATATTATTGTTACTAACATGTTGGTTTGGAGTACTTGAAAGGGACTGGAAAAACTTAAATTAAATGTATTATGTGTCACATCAAATTACACATAATTGTACTTGGTTAGTTGAAAGCAATAATATTATGTTGAACCTAATACTTGTTATTGAAACTTATATTACATATATTCAGTGTAGAGTACAATGTCATATTCAAATTCTGTATATAGTGAAAGATTCCAAGCTTTTTGTTTATTATTGCCAAATCAATTTTTAGCACTACGTTGATGGATTCATTTATTTGTACTGACATAATAACTGTCACAAAAATACCCTTTTACAGGCATATATTTCAGCACTATAAACAGAACATGACTCAACCTGCAGTTCAACACCTGATGCAGTGCTGAGTGGAGAGATGAAGGCAGATGTGTTTCTGTCTCCACACCTGTGCTCCTCTGTCGTTCAGCCATCAGACGGCAGGCGGAGGGAACCCCTGCCCTCGGCCGCGCCACCAGACGAGATTAAAGGGATGAGCAGACAGAGAAACTGAAAGTCATGCCCAACAAATCCTCCCACACAGTCTGCAGCAACAACAAAAAGCCCCCTTGCACAAAGGCACCTCAGTGGTGGTGAAGACAGAGAGGCCAGCTCTGCTCTTATAATTCAGTCAGTTCAAAATGTGGTGAGTTTCTGGTCACATGACAGTTGTCTTATGCTTATGCCACTGCTGAATATTAGGGTAGAATTCAAATTCAAATCAGGTCCTACAATCAGTGATTATAGGATCAGTGATTATAGGACCAAATATATAAAGCAAACCTTGGGTCACTTGTTGCGCTGAAGTTGAATTGGGTGTGATGAAGGCTAGAAAAAGGTAAGTAGTTGCTTCAAAATGAAGAGACGAGGAGCCCAATCAGGCTGTGCTCAAAGACAGAGGGGTGGGCAGTGGTGATGTCAGTGTGTGACAGATGAAACATCAGACAGCCTCTTGCTTTGCACAAACAGCTCAAGAGACTTCCTCTTGCTGGTCATTGTGCAGCAGATCACAGCGGAGCGGCAACGCACACTGCTGTCTACAAAAACAGGTACCATCTTTATTTATTTTTTACTTTTAAACTTCAAATTGATCTGTGAGTGGATACATATAAACTGTTACTGATTTAGCCTGAATTAAGTTAATTAACTATGGCATGTATGTTTCTTGTGAGATTTGTGTGGTTGAAAATATTACGTATTAATAACGGTAATAATATTGTAATATTGTAATATTTACATTGTATTGGATGCTAGTCAGCTTTTTCTAATTGAAAAATAAAGTATAAACAGTTTTGCAAAAGATTAAAGAAAGGGAAAAAATAATTACATTGTAGTTACTACGAGTCAGATTTGTTTTGCAATTGTTTAATTATAGGGGGGAAATGAAGGTAATCAAATATTTGCATTGTATACTTCAATAAAATATGTATTTTTTGTTTTCTTACAGGCTATTTTCCCCAGATGCTTTTTATTCTTCTTTTCATAAATGATTAAAGTATTTCTTGACCTCCAAGAAATGACTCTAAACAGCAATTTTACAGCCAAATGTAATGCTGCGTATGTAAACAAAAAGTGCTTTATTTAGGCAGTGCATGTATGTTGTGTGCCGGGTGATGCATGCAACACAGTGCAGGTTGGTGTCTCTCTGCTGCTGCTGAGCTCATGGCTCACAGGAGAGCCGGTGGCTGCTGCTGCCCCCGGGCGCCCATGAATGAAGACAATGCTCGTTTCTGCCTGCTGGCCGGCCTCATCCTGCTCTACTTGCTGTGCGGTGCTGCCATCTTCTCAGCCCTGGAGCACCCCTTTGAGCTCCGTGCCCGCCGCCTCTGGAAACAGCAGCTGGAAAACTTCACGCAGCGATACAGGGTCAACCTGGGTGCACTGCACACTCTGCTGCGGCAGTACGAGGAGGCGAACGGAGCTGGGATCAGAGTGGACACCCTGAGGCCTCGCTGGGACTTCTCTGGAGCTTTCTACTTTGTGGGTACGGTCGTCTCCACTATTGGTAAGCCTTGAAGCTTTTCTAAGATTATCTTCATGAGATACGAACTCCACAATGGTTGACTTTGACCTTTTAACCTTTTGTTTTGGCTCTTCTCCAGGCTTTGGCATGACCACACCGGTGACGATAGCTGGGAAAATATTCCTAATCTTCTACGGTCTTATCGGCTGTGCTGCCACCATCCTCTTCTTCAACCTATTCCTTGAGAGGATCATCACGATGTTAGCTTACATCATGCGCTGGTGCCATGAGCGCCGGCTGAGGTGTGCCGGGGTGGAGTCGAGCAGGGAGGAGTCTTCTGGTGAGGAGGACAGCTTGGAAGGATGGAAACCGTCGGTTTACTATGTGATGCTGATCCTGGGCGTGGCATCGGTTGTGATTGCGTGCAGCGCCTCCACCCTGTACAGCTCTATGGAGAACTGGAGCTATGTGGACTCCCTCTACTTCTGCTTTGTGGCCTTCAGCACCATCGGCTTCGGGGACCTGGTGAGCAGTCAGAGGCAGCAGTATGAGTCGCAGGAGGCCTACCGGCTCGGGAATTGTCTGTTCATCTTGATGGGGGTGTGTTGCATCTACTCACTTTTTAATGTCATTTCTATTATCATCAAGCAAACTCTTACTTGGATCGTGGGGAAGCTGGTGTGCTCAGGCCGGCATCGGCTCTGCTCCTGCTCCAAATCTGGCTGCCGGTGGCTCTGCTGCCCCTGCCTCCAGAAAAAAAATCGCAACCGCCTGCATCCGCCTGCACACCTCAGAAGAAAACGCTTAAAACCCAACACTGTGCAGCCCATGGGTTCCCACTGCCCTGCAGGAAGACACTGCTACAGGGACGGCTCGGTGGAGACGGTGTGTGACAGTGAGACGGACCCAGGCAGAGTGGCTGATGGGGCGTATGTTGGCCGTCGTCTGTCAGGAGAGATGATCTCTGTCAATGAGTTAATGGTGTCCAATAAGGTGTCACTGGCTCTGCTGCAGAAGCAGCTGAGTGAGACTGCTCACCAGGGCCCGCGGCAGAGCTACGGCCATCAAAATGGATTCTCTGGAGGTGTGGGCGCCCTGGCCATTATGAATAATCGCCTACAGGAAACCAGTGTGGATAGGTAGCCCCAACGCGAGGGCATTATGTGCATTGCCTCCTATTGGAGCCATAATTAGACATGTTTTATTACCAAGTTATTTAGAGAAACTCAATAATTTGTCCCATGACAAATCCAAAACCTGAATATAAAATAACACCCTCTAATTAGAGTCTGTTCAGCACCTCTCTGAGTAATTTCAATGGGAGTCTATGCCTGTAAAAGCAGACCTCCAGCATTGATTCTGGACGTCAAATAATTGATTACATTTTGTTCTATGTAGAGAAAGACTGAAAAGAAGACAAACAAGATTTCAAGAATTCAGCATCACTGTGAAGAGGGGTCTGATATCCTGAAGTGATTGGCTCATTCAAAAGCAATCAGACGAAAGAAGCTACCAAGGAGCACTTAAAGGGGCCTGCTGATTTAAGAGTGCTGCACATGTCCCCTGCCCACCTCAATAAACACGGCCAAACGTAGTGCAGTAGTCAGTATTAGCTAACATACAGGCATAAACACGATATCTACTCAACTACCTGCATAGATAAAACATTTAAGTTGTGATTTGTATTTAAACAGCGCTCCTTATAGGCACTACACGAGCTCATGAGCACCAAGACATTTTAATTTGTTGATTGCTCACAAGCTGTCCATTTTGTTTCGTCAACGCATCATTAACTAATCATGAAAGACAGCAGATATCCAGGGTTTTCAAAAAGGCACATCTAATCAAACGTGGCCTGTAGAGGACGTCCTTAAGCCAACAAGTGTTGTACGGATAGTCAACAGAAGGGAGAACAAGATTCAGGATCTCCTCCACTAGCTGAAGGAGATCCTCTACTATGCAAGAAAACACATTTTAATCCATTCTGTGTCTTTATGTATCTAAAGGTTTATATCGGTGTGAGCAGAAAAGTTCCCTCCTTAGAGACAAAATCATCCATCTTCCTCTAGTGGTCACGTTTGATGAATTGTCCGCACTGTTTAAAACATAAGAAAACCAGTTCTTTAGCCAGTTATTGTGGGCAAAAACAAGTCTTCAATTAAATATGCTTTATTTAGCATCCAAACAGTCATGACTCTTAAAATGTAATGTCTATTCACAGCATATAATACATATAATTAATATCACAATGCAGTATATGATGCAGATACAATGAACAACTCTTAAACTGAACTGTTTTGATGCTGTTTGTTTTGTCAACTATATAAAAGATGTATAAGGCAGCACATGACATATCATCAAACCTATGGAAAAACACATTTCACATATACTTTATCGAATAAAATGTTCAGAAATATGATTAATATATAGAAACAATTGCAAGGAAATTGGTCTTGTAGAACGTGTTCATGTAACATTGATTTTGATTGACTTTAGGGTGTTTGGCTAACTTTTTTATATTTTGTCTAGATTTTTGAAACGGCAACCTACTGTATAAACTTTTTAATTATTTTAACAAATAACTCTTCTTCCAAACATCACTTCAGCCAAGTGGTTCTTATTCTACATGTTTAAAGTAAGTTATAGTTTAGTTTATGTGTGAAATTAATTTTTTCTTGACTAAGTGTGTATGCATTGACATTTTCTTGGTAGAATTAAACATTGAATATATATGTTTTTCAACTATGAAGGATAAAGATAAATGTGTCCCTTCAGCTGTCCAGTCACTAGCACTGTTAGCATTTCCTATTGAAACAAATGGATGCATGTTAGCTTTAGGCTAGCTTTTGGCTGGCGCTAACACAGTTGTCCTTCCTGAAGAGGAAAGACTGAAATTCTTTAAAAATATTTCATTATATCTATTCTTAAAACATCATCTTCAAAATATAACTCTACAAACACATACCGTACTCCTTATTCCATCTAAAGGAAATTTACAATTTCGCAGCTGGTTGTTATTCAGTTGTACATTGATTTAAAACCGTCTGTATCTTCTGTTCACCGAAAATGAGGCAGAGGTTTGTTGCTGGATCAGTGTCTCTGAGTAAGTTTTACAAAATGTCCTTCTGTATAAATATAAAATGTATCAGGCTTTATTAGATCTATTCTTGCATTGTATTTGTTATGAAACGATGCTGCTTGCTATGATGTAAACAAACATCTCTGTCTGTTCATCATCTCCCTTTTTGTCCAATTTCACGCATGAAGAAAAACAGTTTTAACATTAATTACAGTCTCTCCATGGATCCATGGCGATGAGCCGGGCTTCTCAGGAGCCTCACATCATGCCCTGGAAAGACAGGTAGTGGAGAAAATAATGGTGAATACACTGTGCATGAAGGGAAATAACATGTAGATGACTTGAAAGGGACAAATGTGTAGTTTGTACTCACATTGGGCTTGTAATGCTCTCTTTGTTGATAGTAAGCTGAAATAATGCAGTTCCTTCTGCAAAACATAGAAGTAACAGAGTGTAATTTCACAATAGAGGGTACACAAAAACACACACACACACACACACACACACACACACACACACACACACACACACACACACACACACACACACACACACACACACACGATCATGTTGTGTCTCTTACTTGCTCTGTATGCCTCCACCTGGTGGTAATCCAGGGATGACTGTGGATGCGAGGAGTGTGAGGACAGACAGCAGGTCAGGTTCTTCCCCTCTGGCGCACAGCTCAGAGTAAATCTCTGTTTTGGATATTTAAACAAAAAAAAGAAAAATAATTTGTACATGGCTTAAAAAAACAGCCTTGGATGTATATTCTTTAATATTGGTTAACAATTGTTGACCATAAAAGGAACAAAACTGCCTTCCAATAATTGAATCAACAAATTGGTGCTTGCTGAACAATGTGCGAACATAAAATGGGTCAAACACAATAATATTTACATTTTTGTGAAATACTAAGTAATAAGCAAAAACAGCTTCCAACTGCAGATTACAACCTACATTGTTTTGTTACATTTGTTTTGATTGTTTTTGCATTAGCATCAATTAAGATACGTATTGAAAGAAAGTGTTTAATCTCCGGTGGTAACCAAATACCCCATAAAGAAAAAAAGTGTCAGATCTTCCATATAAAAAAATCAAAAACAAGTGCCTAATGTCACAGTGCATTAGCGTCCCCGGTGTGTCATTTCTACCCACACACCTGCGACTTTGGACTCCAGCAGGTCCTCCAGCTCGGCCTCCTGGTGCAGAGCCTCTGCTGACAGCTGGGGGGCTCCAGGGAAGCACAGCAGGATGATGCTGATGTTGTCCAAGCTGCCCTGTGGAGCAAAGTGGAGTCAACAGAGGTGAGTAATAATGGCTGACCGTACAAAATGTCAACATATGAAACATTATATCACATCATGGGTGAATAGTTTTTGAGGTAGACCATTTCAACTCAAAGTCACCTAACAGATGCGGTGGAGCAGGAACATTTTAATGGAGTGTGGAAGGAGCTGTGATATTTTAAGGTCATTGTGCACATCCAAGCTGAAGCTCGGTTACATAACAGATTGGCACGATGGGCATGACGGACACAAATGCACATCAGCATGTGCACATGCGCATGTGTTTCTCTGACAGTTAAATGATGTCGTTCATTTCAGAAAAAAATATCTATCAATCCAATTAAGGGCACAACTAAACACAATAAACGTTTTCTTCTGAAAATCGTAATTTCTCTTGACAAGCTAATATGGTATGCTACAGATTAATTACTCTATAGTGAAAATGATCCTTCACTAAACACCATCGGTTCAAGCAGCAATAATTCTGGATGTAATGATTAAATTATTTTCCTTCATTGAACTGAAATTATTCTTTACTAAAAACACCTTTGATGAGCAATTATCTCGCTTCTAACCTGTTCTGACACCCCTGCAGTCTATTTTAATGTGGTTTCACAGAGCATCCACAGCCTTTATGAGACATAAAACAAAGCTTTTTTTTATAATGATCCAGTTTACTTTTAGACCTTCCATATGGGTATGAACGTGTTCAAAAACATTTGATTACATAACTATTATGTGCTTGATGTTACTCCTAAACCCATAGAGAAAATGCATTTTAGTGTCTTTCAGCTAATTGTTTTGTTTTCAACATGGAAATGTACTGTTTTGTTTCATAGTCACTGCTCTCATAAGTGTAATTTTGAGCTGCTTCTAGCTCAAAACCAAACTGCAGACGGTTAAGTTAACGATTAGCCAGTGAAGAAAGTGGATAAATTAGCAACAGAGCTACGTGTTTCTCTTGTAGTTGATGGAGACTTAAAGAGAGCTCAATTAAATGAATATTGGAAGACTTATATTCTTTGGCTGGCTGGAGACATATCTCCAAATGTATAATCAAGTGCATTTTGCCTTTTGTATGAATAGACCAACTATTCTTAATATACAAAAAACAGGGTATCTAGCATACACCCCTGGGGAACTCCACACTAAAACAGTTAGTCCTAATTACACACACAAGTTCCCTCATGTTGTACTGGTCTAATCAAAGCTGTTGGGAAGAAAAGGTTAGATATAAGGAAAGGTGTTTTCCCAGACTGAGGGAAATATATTTAGATTGATTGGGAGTGGTTAGTTAGGCATATGTACTATTATTCGTATAGAAACTCTCCATGAGCTATTTTCATAAAGCTCCGTTTTTTTTCTCAATGACTGGAATGACAGCTTTCAGCTCAAGCTAAAACTCAGTACAGTCACAGTTCAAGGGATTATGTTATTATATAAAATCCACTGCCCATTACAAATTATGCAACATAGCTTCACCCTGGAATTGTGTTTTGTGTTTAGGTCAGTTAAAAGGATTTGCTAGTGAAACTACTGGACATGTAGAAATGCAATAAAGGGACTATGATTACATGCACACTGGTTTTAAGCAGCAGGTCCTGACCTTATATAGACAGAGGTCAATGACTTGAGTGCAGACGTCCCTTAGGTCAGTGCAGACACTCAGCCGGTTGTGGATGAAGGCGCACAGCTCCTCGTTGCTGATGATATCCCACACCCCGTCGCAGGCGAGCACCAGGAACTCATCGGCGGGCGAGCGCTCCACCACGCACACCTCCGGCTCTGGTGACACCATCTGCTCCGTAGGCATCCTGTTCTCTGCTCCCTTGTAGCTGAAGTCCCCCAGAGCTCGAGACACTGCCAGGGAGCCGTTGATCCTTTGGATGGACACAGTGCCGCCTGCGGCCTCAATGCGCTCTTTCTCCAGAGGGCAGTAAGGTTTGTGATCCTCAGTGGAGAAGCATACCTGGCCAGACCGACACAGCATGGCCCTGGAGTCGCCACAGTTAGCAAAGTAGATGTAATACGGTGAGATTAGAGCGGCCACCACAGTGGTGCCACCCCTCTCCCAGCCTTCTCGACGGGCCACAGAGTGCAGATGCTTGTCTGTGTGCAGGAAGCCGTCAATGATGGCTCCTTTCACCCTTTCAGGGTCGTCCTCTGGTCCTATCCCACCTGTGTGCACAAACAAATGCAGTGTTGGAATACTTAGTGTTTTCTTTGTTCCGTAAAAACACATTATTGCATTGAATAAGACAGTAATATGGAGTTTCATGAGAGAGGATGACTGTAACAAGAGACTATTCTACAGGAAAAAATATATGATTCCCACATGTTCAGTTTCAGCTCTTTCACCTGTGGCGAGGATCTGACCCAGAAGGTGCTGGGAGCAGTAATGTGCCACCGTGCTGCCTGCATGACCATCAAACACAGCGAAGAAGCTCCAGTCTGCCAGCTCTCCACCCAGCTGTGGCACACAGTTGTGGAAGTCCTCCATGCTGGCCCTCCAGCCCTGCATGCTCCCCAGGGCGTAGGTGAGACCCCAGCGGGCGCAGCCCTCCTCGGTCAGCTTGTCCATGACCGGCCGGTCCAGGTAAGGGCTGGGGATGACCTCCTCCCTCTCCCCCTCCCCTGGATGTTCTCCCTCTGCTGCTCCTCCACGGCCCCCTTTGAAGAAAGAGCTGACCCTCTTCTCCGTCTCTTTCACCAGATGCCTCATAAAAGCAGGCATTTCCACGTTACCCTTCCTGGATGTCCTCATGGCTCTGCTGCACGGCTGCTGTTAGACGAATCTCTTTTTATCCCGGCCTCGGTGTTTGTGGCTGGGCCTGATGCTGGGCCTGTCTGCGTAGCCCCGGCTGCTCCAGGGCTCAGAGCATGGCTGCCTGATAGATGTTCTCAGTGCTGGCTTCTACTCACCCCCCTCTCCCTGCTCATCTCCTTCCTCTCCTCTCTGGAGACCTTACTAATCGGCGCTCTCTCCTCCACTCATCCTCCCTCTCTGTCTTGTTTTGGTCTCTCCTTCTTGCTGCTGTGATTTCACCTCCTTTCTTTCTTTCTTTCTCATAGCTCTTCCCTCCTTCACTGTCGCTCCCCTTGTTATTTTCCCTATGTCTGCCAGGATTGGCTGGCTATTTTTGTTCTCCAATCCCTGCTTAGCTCGTATCTCTGCTGTACCGTTGGAGCTCAGCCTCTCTCTCTCCGTCCTCCAATCTGCTGCTCTGCCTCTTACACATGTTGGGTAATGGTAATCTCTACCTTTGATCGGTTGGGATTATGAGCTGCCACTGCTGTGGATTACAGGATGGTCGGCTATTTAGCACACAGTGTTTACTCACCGGGGGAAAGGGTTATTTTCATTATGCACACACATAATCCCTGATATTTCACTTAAAACATGGCATGTACACTTCCTGTCAGCGCTGCATTACATGCTTAATTATGAGTAAAATTGCTTTCATCGTTTTTTATCTAAAATGTCGGTAATGTAATACATTATTTTTAGTGTAGACACCTAAGACATTTTGTGTGCCAAACTTGAAATATGTTTGTATTGTTTCATTTTGTATTCTTATTTTTTGGATAACTTGATGCAGAGATTTTTTCTTCCTATGGAATTTCAATTTAGTGTCACCATTAAACAAAATGTGCTATAGGCTGATGTGTAAAATAGTTTTAATTTAATTTCGTAAATAAAATGGCAGAGAATACAATATCATTAGCCACAAATGTGTATTTATACAGAGAATAATTCAATAGAGATAAAGGAGGACAGATTGCTGCATGTTTCATTTATTTTGAAGAAGCAGAAAATTAGATTTTGTATGATTGTGCATCACAACATAACCAACAGCTGTTTTGTTTGGCACCATTTCCCAAATAACAGCTTAAATCTATTGAGTCATGCAGGATGACTTCGCTGCTCTCTGTAATTCTCCATGTAGATTCATGGACTGACACTCTGCAGTCGTGCTGGAAATGTTTCAGACATTAAATCAGAGTCACTTGTCATGGTGGTTTTAAAGCAGCAATAGAAACAAACCTCTGAGTTGTTGTGTGCCAAGGAGATATCAGTACAGATTACAGTCTCACGCCTGCAAAATGTGTTATTTTGAAGGGCTCAAATGGGCAGAGTAACATCTTTATTCACAGCTGCAACATCTGCGGTTTGGCAGCTGTGCATGAGTTTGAGCAGGCACATGATACTGAAGCCAAATGAATAATCTGGAGGAATTTCACAAACAAATGGGAGGGACTCTCTGTAACAGTGCTAAAAATTATCCTTCCTTATAATCTGTGACATACAGTATTTATCCTGCTTTAACCATAATCTGAATATATTTATTTATTATTATATTTTGAAATCATTTAAAACGTTGTTGAAAATGTCTATCCTTTTTCTATTAGAGTATGCAGTGTGTCTTATTTAAGCTCCATTATAAAGCCATAGGGTTTTTAACGAGTGCTGTAGGAGATAGCAGCCTACTGAAGCTGTGTTCACTGACGTGGCTGCATGTGGAGGCCTCTGAGTGCAGGTCGGCCACCAGATGGCTGAGGAACCATGACAGTCTCTGAGAGCTGAGGATACATGTACATGCTGATGTCTCAGGTTCCCAATTTGAGGTTGTGTGTGTGTGTGTGTGTGTGTGTGTGTGTGTGTGTGTGTGTGTGTGTGTGTGTGTGTGTGTGTGTGTGTGTGTGTGTGTGTGCAAATGCATGACTCAGTTGCTAGTAAATTGTCTTAATGAAGACAACTTGTTATTGATGTGTGTATATATGTTTAAGTGTTTGTTTTAAATTGATTATACCTTAAGATTATCATAGGAGCTGGGAGGATCATTCGACAGCTTAGAGTTTGAAGATCTCATAACCAGTGAATCATAGCATGCTTATTGCTTTATTTATAATTCATTAAGTTATGTGTAAAGTGCATAATTAAAAGCAATGCACTTGTGTAGATGTACATTTATTCCTAAAAATCTATATTTTCCAGCAAGGAAGGAGGTGAATAAAAAGATGCTTCTTCTATGGATGTATTTGAAGAGGCAAGATTTACTCTCAACACAGTCCCATGAACTGTACGCCATTGTAGAAATGACCAATGTTGTACTGAATGTAAATAGGTATTACTGAATAGAGAAAAATATGTTTTTAAAGCCATATAGACAACGTGTCACAAAGGAGCAGGTAAATGACACCTCTAAGACATCTCAAAATGTATTTATTTAAATGACCTGGTGTCCATTTTCCCCTCATTTACCTCCATATAAGCAAAGCTTCTCTGGCACAGAGGGAGAGACGTGAGACTGTTTGTAATAAACAAAGGAAGATAGAAGATATTCAGTTTTTTTTTTTAATATGGAGTTGGTATCAAATACATGTACTGCTGGTTCAAATGGTGTCAGCTTCATAGGAATTTGATTTGACTGATATGAAGCTAAATAAAACTAAGTCTGAGCCTCTTTATGACCATAACTTTTACACATGCATCGACAGGTTGTTATTTACTTCCTGGTTCAAAGAAACATGCAATTCAACATACTGCAATGCTTTGAGGAATGGAAATATGGAAGGGATTGCTATCACACATTGGTGGCTAATTGGTGTCCAAATAAATCTATATGTATACAATACAAATGTGATTTGTGAGTTATGATTGCCACAACTATGTTCCATATCTAACGATCCAAGCCCTGACTTTGTATGGAGGATAGATGATCTACAAACTTCACATCTCTGTCACAGTTTTTCCCTCTTACAATCATCAGTAACTCATTTCATTTTCTGCTCCTGTCATGTGCGTCCTCTTCTGCAGTCGTTGATCTGGTGTATTGGCGGAAGTTGAGGAGGACCGGTGTGGTGTTCACAGGTCTGGTGATGAGTCTGGCCAGTCTGTTCCAGCTCAGCGCCATCACCGTGATCTCACACATCTGTCTGGGTGTCATGGCTGTCACCTTCACCCTCCGCCTCTACTACAAACTGCTGGAGCTGCTGCGCTGGAACCCCGGGGTTCACCCCTTTGAGTGAGTCTGTCAACATTGATTTATTCCCACATATGCTTTTATCAAGATACATTTAACTTCAAACCTAATTCTCATACTGTTTTAGAATGGTAGTGTTAAAGGCATTACTAATTGAAAAGTCTTGATTTTTTTTTCAATAGCTACCATATCATGTGACCCAGTTTCTCTGAACCAATGCAGCATTGTTTTACTACACTGGACAAGATGAATACACCTGAACCTGGAGTGTATTGAACAAATATGATACTTTTCAATAAAAGAGCTGAATTGTATTCAATATTCATATAAAATTGAAAAAACATTCAAACCCAATAGAAAATGTGTGTATTCTACCCATCAAGTAAAGTTATACAATGCTGCATTGACTCACATGGTCTTATTAAAAGGAAGCTTATTAGAGTTTTTAATTAAAAGAAAGGCCAAGGGTCAAATAAAAAGAGTCATGGCATCCAGTGTTGTGGATTTGGAGTCGCTCGGTCACATGACATGGAAGCTATTTAAAAAGCCTTTTCAATAAAGAAACTGATTCATTTTCATGACAATACATAAGGCTTGAATGACTGTCGATATCCAACCTAAAACCAACATCACCTCTGTTTGATAGTTTTGTATTATTTGTGTGTCTGAGGCTTGTGTATGTGTCTCTGCTTCAGGTCGTCTCTGAACCATGACAGCTCTCTGACAGACAGGGAGACAGTGAGGCTGGTGGAGGAGGTGGTCCTGATGATCGCATTTGCCCTCACAGAAATTAAACGGCTGATTTTTATTGAGAGCGTGATCGACTCCATTAAGGTCAGAGTGTGAGGATAAAATGATGATAATAATGTATGAACACAAACTGATCATAAAACCTGAAAGTGGTATGATGATAGGTCAGCATGTATGGGAGCGTTGCTCAACTTCACAGAGCTAATGAAGGGCGTTTGTTCTCATTGGTATTGCAATCACTCTAAGGGACTCATTTGTTGTCAACATTTCTTTCCGGTGCTCTCTCAGTTCGTCCTGCTCCTGTATCTGCTGACTTATGTCGGGGTCTTTACCAGTGGTCTGACTCTGGTGATAACTGGTGAGTTATTTTATTCCAAAAGGGTTTTTTGATCTGCCAACGCCATGATTACAGTTTGGTGAGGTCTTTGCAAAAGAAAAGACTACTTGGGGATGATCATAGACATAGTTTAAAGAATCAAACTCTGAAAAGAGAGAGAAAACAAAGTTTAAAATGTCCTGTTTCAACATCGAAGACACCAAAGAGTGTCATACCATAATCCAAAACCCCACTCTGCTTAGAGAGGGTTGTGTGCCATAGAAGTCAAATAAGAACTACATTTAAATGAGATATGGAAGCTCTGAAAGGCCTTAAGTTACATACAAAGTAAATGTATTGTGTTAGCAAGTTATGTTACATATCTGTCATGTCTTGACTAAAAATGTTTTATTGATATTAATATATTGGCCTTGTGTAGTACATCTAGAACAGGTGTCTGCAACCTTTTTGACCAAAAGAGCCATTTTGCTCCTTTTTCCAAAACATTTTTTTGTCTGGAGCCGCAAAACATATTTCATAGCTTGATAGCTAATAAAGTTGTATTTATTGTTATATCAGACAAAAACTACAGATTTTTTGCATTTATTAGGCTATTTATTACATTATATAAAACTGTTAACCTCTAATAAGAAACAAAGAACTCCTATAAGGAGAATTAATTTTAATTCTCCTTATAGGAGTTCTTTGTTTCTTATTAGAGGTTAACAGTTTTATATAATGTAATAAATAGCCTAATAAATGCAAAAAATCTGTAGTTTTTGTNATTCTAGTAGACCTCAACAATGGAATTATGATCAGTAGAAATGGTCATGTCATGTGACCTTTAAAAAAAAAAAACGTGTCCTCTTTTAAAAAAGTGGAAAAAATATGACTAGTTATTTTAAGAGTTTGTTAACTATAACTCAGAATGCAGCAGAAACAGAAATGGATAACAAGATTCTTGTTTTTAAACTCGATGATAAATTGACATGTTTTTCTTCATACTGTATGCCTGATTCACTCCAGGGAAAGATATGAATTTTTTATTTACCCTCCACGGACCAACACAATGGAAAATATTGCATGTGTATTTATGTGCAATGTTAATATTTGAATTATTAATGTGCCATTAATGATGGTCCTCCAAAGAGTTAGTCACAGAGCTCATTATAAGAATGTAAACAAAGCTGATTGACAGATTTTATTTGGCTGCATCATCCTATATTCAATAAACATTTACATTTAAAATAATGTCAAAGATAAAGCTAAATCAGAAAAGTGTACAATTTTCTTACATTGATTATTGTGTGTAAATTAGGCCAAATCTACAACCTGCCAACCTGTCCGCAGAGCTCAAAAATGTTTTGCTATTGTAACAAACAGTTCTGTGAAATTAAATAAAAAAACTTTAATTAATCACACAACTTTAGCCTCATAAAGATGGAGTCTTTACTATATTAACTTTGCAATAAGCATATAAAATGCAATTATGTGTTTTAACATGTTCACACTAGAAATATTGCAGGTCATTTTAGGAATAAGGAAAGGGTAGATAAAAGAAAGTTACTAAAAGCTATTTTAAAAGTGATTGTCTTCGACACATATTTTAAAAGTACACGTCAAAATAACAAAACATGTCCACGCACAGTCACACGGCATTTCGTGTTATAGTCACGAAATTAATCTATTGATTCGTGTTCACCAACACGATTTTCGATTTTAAAAGCAATGTAAATAATAATAACAAATTAGAAGGAAAAAGAGATAAAAGAAATACAGTTTTCAGTATTCTGACACGGAACGATTTTTGATTTATATTGGTAGTATGTTTCGTGCCTGCACCAAATAATAACCAATTAGAAGGGGAAAAAATAATGTAAGCAAAGTGAGTGCAGTTCAGTGTTTCATATTATATTTTAATATTCATATTATTGATCAGGTATATTTTCAATAATCTAAATGAGCATACACTTTACTTGGTTAAGTTTATTTCTGTAGCTCACTGTTGAAGTGGTCCTAAATGCATTTAAGCTTAAAAATAAGGTTAAATAACACAAAAAAGGATGTATGCTCCAATGAGCAGATCAATATCTACTGCTCTAGTAGCATCCTTCTTGTTAAAAAAATAAACATAAACAACAAAGAGCTTTGACTGGTTGGTTAACTGACACAGGTGATGTTGTCAAGGCAAAGCTTTCTTATAAAAGGACGTGATGCTAAGTACGATGATGCATTCCAGTTGTTCACAGAACCTTCATTGTTAAATGAAGTTAGATCACAGCAATAACATGTAAGTACTGTGTCTCATGCTTACAAATGATCTATTCATCATGCTGCATAGATTAAATGTGTCTGATGTATTTATTGTCATATGTCAATTGTTTTATTGATTTGTGGCTTTGTTGCAGGCTTTAACATGATTATTTAAGTTATTATTTTTCAGGACTTGTTCATACTGTTTATTAAGGATGAGTGAGATTGTGTGCCATGCTTTTACAGATGCTGCATGAAGCTGCGGTCATGAATGACACCACAGAAGTAACCCAGCAGATGCAGTTTAATGTTCCTGTTAAAGCTGTGCTCTCAATGCTGCCATGTCTTTTCTTTCTCTACGTAAACGCTGTCATGTTGTTCGCCTTGTTGAGCAAGCCTCTCCTCCTGGAGACCCCCCGTTATATCCTGTTTGGTCATTTACTTTTGTCTGAATCTCTGCAGCTTTTAATGACCATGTTGCTGTACATCTTTGCTGTGACCATGGTCAGAATGATGAGCTACATTTGTATTATTCTCACAATATTTGCAACCTTCACTTTTAAAATATCCCCCCTAAACCTGGCTGTGATGTCTTTGGAGAGATATGTTGCCATTTGTTTTCCACTGAGGCATGCAGATATTGTAACCACCAGGACGACAGGAGTGGCCATCGCTGGGATGTGGACCGTGGCCTCTATAGATTACTTCACGCAGCTTTTTCTGTTTGTCAGTGTAAAGAATACAAACTATACTGTGCCGAGGTTTTGCCACAGACACCTCTACCGGCAACCACTTTATACAACTATAAACAATGCCTTCATCATTGTGGTATTTGTATTTGTAATTATGGTTATTATCTACACTTTCTTTGCTATCATGATCACTGTGAGGTCAGCCTCTGCCTCTTCTTCGTCTTCAACTGAGAGTAAAGGCAGTAAAGCCTATAAAACAGTGCTGTTGCATCTGCTGCAGGTGTTCCTGTGTCTCACCTCCACTGTGTTTAATACGATAAACTCAGACAGCCTATGGGGAGGTAATTTCGCCCTCGCCACAAATGTCCAGTATGCTCTCTTTTTATGCCTTATCATTTTCCCTAAGTTTTTGAGCCCACTCATATATGGCCTGAGAGATCAAACCTTCAGACATGTCTTTAAATACCATTTCACCTTTGGCTTCAAAATCACCGCTAAGACATTTCCTACGGTATGAGATCAAACACAGTAATCATGTGGGTCTGTTTTTGCTTACAATAATGTTGAGTACAAATGCTGACTTGTCTTTGCAGGGAATACTTTTTTTTCTTTGTGTGATTTACTATAGTACATGAGAAAATGTATGATACATTTTCTCTCAGATTTAGGTCAGAATTTAAAACGTTATCAAACGCATGTGATCATAATAAAAAGCTGACAGAAATGACAATAATCCATTGTAAGAAATTATGAGTATCTAGACTGTTTCGCTATACTAAATAAACAAATAGACACAACATATATATAACGCTCTCATGACATGTATGTGATATAATAATGTCTAAATATTGTAGACAATACAATAATGATGATTAAATCGTAAATTGTAAATGTAAGATTTCCTCAAGAAATAACTAAGATGCTGATTAACAAACTATGAAAAGCATATAAATACAACATTTTGAATTTCACATGAAATAAAATTAATCAACGTTTAGTATTTACTTTAGTAAGGCTGATGAAAAGACCTTATCATGGAGATAATATGGTAATTATTTATGAGCTGCCTAAAATATTGTAAAACACAATATTAACCATGCTTAATAATGATCAAACTGAAAGTCAATAATTACAAATAGATACTGTTAAGTTCTAAGCTGTTGTTTCAAAGAGGGACACATTTGAAAAGCATGATGCCACATGTAAGTCTGAACGTGGATGTAAAGACTTCATTCTTTCAGCCAGCAGATGTCACTTTTGGTCTGTCAATAATTTACACTCTGGCTGTAACTGCGGACTTTTTATTTCAGTCTTTAAATCACCTGAGGAAACTTGTGTGAGACTTTGAAAATCAAGGATGTTTAGTAACGTTGACATTAAGATGAAATTCCTGTCTCCTCCTCTTTCTCACAGTCACAATGGAGGAATGTGTGGGAGAAAGAATAGAGACAGAAAACAGAGAGAGACCAATTGATGTGGGTAAACAGGGAGGGAGGTGCTGACCCGCAGAATAAAAGAAGCGTCTGAGCAGGAGGTGGACTAATTTAACCGATCTTTACTCCAGCACAATCCTGAAGCCCTCTCTATACCTCTCTGGCCTTCATGAAAGAGTACTTGAAGGGGTGAAAAACATTCCTGAGAGAGAAGTACCTGGTGACGGAGAGCAGCTTTAGTTTAGAGAGAGCAGAAAGGAGCAGAAAAGAAGGGTTGTTATCATGATCACAAAATACTTCACATCATCCACATAGAACATGGATTCTGTGGCTTTGTGTGAATGTCTACTTTCATTAACTCAGTTTTACTTTTTGGTCACACACAGGTTAAGTCTTTCCTCTGAGTTGTGCATGGTGTTTCCATAGGCTACTGTGCTCACAGGGAGTGCATTCAGAAAAGACAATTATTTATGAGTCAAATACATGAACAAAGGAAGGTACAGAAACTTAGCTCAGTGTTCCTTGCTAATCAACCTCGTTATAAGAAAAGCCCACAGACTTTTCTAGATAACGTTTAAATTATGATTTTGTGTACTTTTTGGGCCATATGTAATTCAAAAATATATTGTATTTTATTAGAAAACGTTATATCAAGGAAAATCAAATCAGAGAGTAATACATTACAAAGGGAAAGTC